AGGTAGCATGACAAATTTTATTAGCATTCTTCATTGTGTTGCACACAGTAGGTTCAGCCGGGTTAAAAGTTTGTCCTATGACTCAGAGAAGTATTGACAAGGACCATGTTTTTACCAAAAATTGAAGTTTTATGTCCAAATAGCAGATATTTGTGGCATTCCTAAACTGTTAAAGTTATTCAGTTTAAGATGATTTATGAAATGAATGGAGTTTCTTTCTCCAAAAAGAATATGAAAAGTGCTATGAACAAATGTAATAGAACTTTGTGAATATTCTCATGAGTTTAAATAGACCTAGAATTTTTTTGGTAAACATTTTATCCATATTACTTTTTCTTCCTTTTAGTGGCAGAGCATTACTGTAACTCTGGTTGAGAAAGTGCAGATGATTGCTGTAATTTTGGGATCACTATTCTTAGTAGCAAGTGTAACTTGGCTTCTGTGGTCGGCCTTCAGTCCCTATGCAGTATGGCAAAGAAAAGATCTCCTTTTTCAAATCTGCTATGGAATGTATGGTTTTATGGATCTAGTATGCATAGGTAAGCTAAAAAAATAATCCATTCATTCATTTTGCTAAATGTGGCAAGATATCATTTGAGACTGTATGTTTTTGTATATGTGATTTATGTACATGGTGGTTTCTAGAAAATACAAAATGTATGTGTGTGTGTCATGTTTAGATATAACAAGAATTCCAATTTTAAAGGCTTCATAATTCGGGTATATAATAACATTAAAAAGTTGCCTGATAATCACTCTTACCCACAATACCCATAGTCAGAAAGATCCACAATACTCTCAGGTTAAATGAAACTACAGCAGGCTTCAAGAGTTTAGACAAGGGGCAAGCAATCAATGGATCATGGATTGCATGCCTCTAGAACCACCCAAGATTGAATTGCTGAAATTTGGTGGCAAATCCCTAAATAACAGCAATATTATTTTCAGTGTGAATTCACATAAAATATTACATATTTACTGTATATACTTACAAACAGGGAAAAGTGCTCAAAACCTTAAAAGAAGAAAGATTGGACCAAAATTTGACTCCACCTTTACAGTGATGTCATTACACCACTATCTTCTCCATTCCTTTGACAAAAAAAATCCTCCATCTACTATAATATTATTTAAAATACTGTAATTCTTAAAATAGTTGAACACATACACACATATACAGTATTTATACACAAATATTAAGCACAATCCCACCAAATTTAAAGATTTTTAACTGCATTTATTTCATTGAAATATTCCATCTACTGTAGTATTGAGACAGGGCACCCTTGGCAAGGTACTCAAATATGAACCAGTGAACAAACTTCAGATTCTTATGAATGATATTGATTAGTTCCATCCTTTACAAATTGGTTTACAAATAGGTCTGGGGACTAAGCTATATACAGATAACTATTTTATTGCTATTGATTTTTGTGGACTTCTTAGCAGTTTTCAATACAATTGACTTTTCAAGAAATACTTTTAAAAATTAGACCTTGACATACTATTTTATGGTGGTTCTGCTATTCTTCCTGGAAATTAAGTTTCTGAAGGGGATACTTAGAAACTGCTACTCCATCCATAAGTCAAAAGCCATGGAATTTTACAGATTCCATCTTGTCTGTCATATTATTTAACAGCTATCTGAAGTTATTGGTGAATACTTCATAGATATTTATTTTTTCTAATGGATGACTTTCAGCTCTACCTTTTCCATTAGATTTTAAACAGGCTAGGACTAAACCAATGTCTGGAATCAATATTGAACAAAGTAGTGTAGTAGTTTATGGATAGGATAGCTATTATATATGGTTTTATGTTCAATTTGGTTTGAATATGATTGATCTTGACAAAAATTTTAAGTGAGAAACAAGATGTTGCATACAGTATTTATTTATTTATTTATTTATTTATTTATTTATTTATTTATTTATTTAAGCAATTTATATGGCCATCCAACTCACTCACGGTGACTCTGGGTGGCTTACAGGAATAAAAATCCCAAACCCAAAACCCACTCCACCTCCCCAGCCCCATGGTGACAACAATACATTTACACTAGTCATTTGATGGGCTCCAGGTCAACCTGGGATCCCAAGCCCACCGGCAAAACCATGTCTTCAGGGGCTTGCAAAAGAGAATCAAGGTGGGGACCTGTCTTATCTCTATGGGGATGATGTTCCACAGGGAGGGAGGCACTATGGAGAAGGCCCTTCTTCTCGGTCCCACTAGATGGACTTCCTTAATAGGGGGGTCCTGTAACATACCCTGCCTCCCTGATTGGTGGGTTGGGCAGATGAAACTGGGAAAAGGCAGTCCTTCAAATAATCTGGC